GAATGCCGTGTTTGGGACAGCTGCCCCTCGTGCCCTAGGAATGGGTGTGCCTCTCCAAGGCAGCGACTCGGCCGCCAATCTGGATTCCTGCACACAGAAACACCCGAATCAGATTCTTGAATGCTTGCTCGCCATCTCAGTAAGCTCGTTCCCAACCTCAGTTAACTTTCAAAAGCCTGTTGTTAAAGCTGAAAATTAAGCCTGGTGCCCAAAGCCAGGGTCCTCCCCCTTTGAGAAATCGCCACTTTTATTTCAAGGCTTAGTGGGAAAGGGGAATGTAGAAATCAGAAGACCATGGAAGTTACGCAGTGGAAAACTGGCCTCTATCTGCAACACACAGCCCAGGATTCTGTTGGACACGACGACCGACCGGGAGGAGGGGGAGTCAACAGCGCTACAAAGCTTGCTGCCATGCTAACAGAGTGATCACCTTACTCGTAGAATCGTAAGAGTTGGAAGAGGCCTCCAGGGTCACCTAGTCCAACCCCCTTGCACAATGCGGGAAATCCACAAATACCTCCCCCCCCTTCCACACACACAGCGACCCCTCCACGCCCAGAAGATTACAAAAAACCTCCAGGATCCCTGGCCAAACTGGCCTGGAGAAAAACTGCTCCTAAACAAGCCTTTAAGGGGGAAAAAGCTACCGGTTTGCTATAGTCTTGTATCTCTCCTCTGACCCCAGGTATTTTATATTTTTTAGTCTATTAGATTTAGCATTTGTCTAAATTTTGAGCAACTGCCCATTGCCTGTGTCTGGTAATGGTCCACTCGATTATTTCTTAGGAATCTGTTCTTATACTATTAAAGTTCCATGAATTTTTACTGCAATTGTATTTTCAGCTGGTGCTGCTTCAACGGTTAGATTTTACGGTATATTATTGTTGAACGTTTTGTTGCAAGCAGCTCGGAGACCGCACAGAAGAGGATGCGGTATAAAGAGGTGATAAACAAAATAAAAATAATAAACGAACCAGGTAGCCTTCAGCTGGGCAAAGACCCTCTGCGGAGAGAACCCTCACGAAGACTCAACAACTTGAATGGAAATACAGTAACAAGACAATGGATTCAACCAGGGCTTTTTTTGTAGAAAAAGCCCAGCAGGAACTCATTAGCATAATAGGCCACACCCAACAGCAGAAACTCAGCATATTAGGCCACACCCGGATAGCACATCACATTAGCATATTAGGCCACACCCCATGTTACCAGAAGTGTGGTCATCCAGCCACATCCACCTTTTGCTTCTTATTCTTTTTACTTTGTTTATTGTCAAATCCCAGGGCTTTTTTTGTAGCAGGAACTTCTTTGCATGTTAGGCCACACACCCCTAATGTAGCCAATCCTAATGAGTTTCTGCCATTGGGTGTGGCCCATTATTCTAATTAGTTCCTGCTGGGTGTGGCCAACGTTCCTGTGCGTTCCTGCCCCAAAATAGCCCTGGATTCAACCTAGAAACACATGCAGCAAGACCAATTCAAGTGGGAACAATCGCTTAACATTTGGGTTTCATTTCCACCAATGGCATCCAGAAGTCACTCACGGATCGGGTACATCCAAAATATACAAATCCCCTGCTTGATCTGGTTATCTCTGGTGTTTTTTTCCCCCTGACAACAATTTTAAACAGGCAATTCAGAACAGCTCACTTATGAAGGGCAATTTACAAGTTTTTGGAGGCATTATCCTCTCCTCCCCACAAGCAATGGCTTCTAACAACCAGACAAGAATAGCCACTCCATCCTCAAGAATAAAATTCTGTTTCCTAGGGCGATTCTGCATCTAGAACTCATTCCACGTTTTCTCAACTGGGAGGGGAAAGTGCAGCTCAAAACCACATTCAGATACCCCGGGGGCAACGCTGCACTGACTGCAAAGTCACCCCTGTGCAGACATAAATCTATGCAGACGGTACCATAAAACCCGATGGTCAAAGGAAGCGAATGCGGCAGGTAGTGTGGAGGCCAGTGTTCCCTCTAAGCTGAGTTGGTGTGAGCTAGCGCACAGTTTTTTAGCCTCCGGCTCACATGTTTTTGTCTCAGCTCAGGAAGGAGGGCTCCAGAGCGAACTGATTTATGCAGCAGCCAAATCACTCGCTCACAACTTTAATGCCAGTAGCTCACAAAGTAGAATCTTTGCTCACAAGACTCCACAGCTTAGAGGGAACATTGGTGGAGGCTACCATAAAACCTGATGATCAAAGGAAGCAGAAGCGGCATGCAATGTGGAGGCTGCCATAAAACCCGATGATCAAAGGAAGCGAAAGTGGCATGCAATGTGGAGGTTGCCATAAAGCCCGGTGATCAAAGAAAGTGGAAGCGGCATGCAGTGTGGAGGCTACCATAAAACCTGATGATCAAAGAAAGCGAAAGTGGCATGCAGTGTGGAGGCTACCATAAAACCCGATGATCAGCGGAAGCGGCACGGAATGTGGAGGCTACCATAAAACCTGATAATCAGCGGAAGCGGCACGGAATGTGAAGGATACCATAAAATCCGATGATCCACGGAAGTGAAAGCAGCATGCAATGCAGAGGGGAATTTCTGTTCCGACGTGGATTTCGTAAAACAACGGAGGGAAAAGCCAATGCAAAATCGGCCCCAGATTTCTTCCAGTGAGAACGAATCAAACCTAATAGGAAGCTGGCTCGTGAACACCAGGGAACAGAGATTTGCATGGATGCTCAAGATCCTTACCAGTATCATCAATATACCTATCTAACCAATGCTGTATGCCTGAAGGACTGTTTTTGTAAGTTTTCTGGCCGGAAAGAGGAGCAATTGATGCATCTTTGGTGGGCAGCCATGCATCTCCAAATAAAATGCCCTAGACAGGTTAACACACAACCCCATGCCACCTCCTCCTCATTCAAGTCCCTCTACCTCTGCCAGTCCAGCCCTGCTTATTGGGCATCTTGAAGCTGGGTTATTTAAAGGCTCTCAAAATTAAGAGGCTCCCAGACCTGGACCGCACAGGTGTGCTACAACAGCTTCAGCCCTTTTCATAGATTCTTTCCTGCCGCTACTTAGCCACATCTGTGCTACCTGCCGGGCCAAAGTCCAAATTTGGAATGTCACAGTTCATTGCCACGTACAAGAAGCCTGATCTAAGGAAGTAGGGCGACACCTTTGCTAAGGCAACACCACCCTTTTCAAATAGTTGTTTTGGACTTCAGAGGGGAAAGAAATCTGAATTCTATCCAAGGTAGACACACCGTGAGGATCACTGTCAACCCAACTTCCTTCATCCCCCCCCCCCCCAAAGACAGGTTTTTAAAACGATAGCTTGGCCCTGGCTTATGAAAACAGTGCTATAATAAGGTATCATAAATAAAACTATGCCCAATTGCCAACATTTTTCTTTAAAAATGCTGAATATATCTGAGTTATTTTCAGCTCATGTTTTTGGCGCAAGAAACACAATTGTTCAGAATCTCTGCTTTTCAACATTATCGCTTGCGATCATCAGTACACCTCTCCTGCAGCTGGTTTACTCAGCCCCCTCGCCCAGACTAATGTACAAATGCTGTTCCCATTGGGCACATGAACAGATAAAACTTTGGACGCATCAAACAAAGCATCATGAAGAAGAGGAGATTGGATTTATACCCCACCCTTCACTACCCAAGGGAGTCTCAGAGTGGCTTACAAACTCCTTTCCCTTCCCCTCCCCACAACAGACACCCTGCGAGGTAGGTGGGGCTGAAAGAGCTCTGACAGAAACTGCTCTTTTTCAAGGACAGCTCTTATCAGAACTACGGCTTGCCCAAGGTCATCCAGCCAGATGCAAGTGGAGGAGTGGGGAATAAAACCCAGTTCTCCCAGATTAGAGTCCGCGCACTTAACCACTACACCAAACTGGCTCATAAAAACCAGACGTGAGCTAAGTAAGGCCAATGAAACCTGATTTTAAAGCCAGTTTTTAAAAAATCATCCTTTCCCCAGAGTCATCGGTTTCTTTAGGCTGACACGGATAAACAGCATTTCAAAGTCATATCCTATGAACACTGCTTAAAATAGGAAAGCTATACTTTGGCTCTGTAAACCCTCCCCCCAACCTTTGAAATTGTTCCCCCTGGTCCTACATTTTTGCACTTAACCTTAATAAATGTGCATCTTAACCAAGACTTTGTAGCTCCCAATACTCCTGAAAGGCAAAGTGGTTTCCCCCCCCAAAAAAGTGAACACTTTAAGTTTCGAATACAAGCCTACTGAAAGGCAAAGTGGTTCCCCCCCCCAAAGTGAACACTTTAAGTTTCGAATACAAGGCACTTAAAACGGCATGTTACCAAAAACAATTCTTTAAAAAACACCCAGTTCATGGTAGTTCTCATATGAACAACTTATAAAATTGTTTTTAGGCTTCACCAGGCCTAAACGTTATGTCTGTGGGGATGCATATTCATATTCTTCACGAGGGAGAATTCCTGGATCACAGGCCTTTTTATTTCTCAAACCTCCAGATCTGATTTTTATCTGCCGAATTACAGGTCCTCATTTGCACATCAGGTTTCCCGTCTGGAGTACGATATGCACTAAGGCACATTCCTGAGTGAGGATGGTGAATAGTCCCATCCTCTTTAAAATGCCATATAATGCTTTCTGGGATCTCAGAGCCATCTTTGGGACAATTTCTCATGCCCACAAAGTCCTTCGCCTCAGGGACCTCCGCACAGAGTTCTGTCACAGAGTTGAACCTGATTTCTTTATCGGACGTGTATTCGAAGAACTGGTTGCCTCCTTGACCGTGACATCCGAAGAGAGAAAGGTGGGCCCCGGTCGGGTTGTGTTCAGGCGAGTTGTAGTCTAGACATTCAGAGGAGATGCCCATACTGTGGATGGCACCGTGCCAGCCAGGCCTATCTTCCGGCACGTGCAGGTTAGGAAATATATGTTTCAAATACCAATCGAAGTTCTGGCACTTCAAACGTTCCCTCAGGAGTTTCCTTTCAGAAATGTCTCCGTAGTTTTCTTTCCGGGCCGGAGGGTTTCTGTTGTAGAAATGCTCCTTATAGCCATCCATCCACACTTCGGCGGCACGGGCAGTGTTCTGGAGGAAGTTTGGCCTGGCGTACGGGGCCCGCTTGGGAAACACGTGCCCTACGTGGGAACAGGGATGGATCTCCAAGATGCCGCCGCACTGCCACACCCGGAAGGAAAGTTCTAGATTCTCCCCTCCCCACACGTCCATCCCCATGTCGTACGTCCCAAGGTACTCAAAGTATTTCTTGCTCACGGCAAATAATCCCCCAGCCATTGTCGGGGACCTGATTGGATCGATTCTGGATTTCCGCCTTTGCCGCTCGTACTCCGGCACGGAATGCCACTGGAATGTCAACCGCCAATCAAAGCCCCCGATCATCGGCTCCGCCGACTGCATATAGAACTCAAACGTATTCCAATCGATGGTGTCGATAACCGGGCAAATGATCACGCTCTCGTTCTCGGAAATCCGTTGCAGCAGGGGCTCCAGCCATCCGGGAACGCACTCGCAGTGGCAGTCGAGGAAGGTGAGCACGTCCCCCGTGGCGTAGGTTGCCCCGATCAAGCGGGCCCGAACCAGCCCTTCCCGCTTGTTGGTCCTTATCAAACGGACCCGTTTCAGATCGCTGATGTACCGCTCCAGCTCCGCCTTCAGATACACCTTGTCGCTCAAGTCGTCCACGAGGATAATCTCTTTCAGCAGAATGGCAGGCGACGTCTCCAGGACGCTGTGGATGGTGCGCAGCAGCGTCGACCAGGCCTCGTTGTAGAATGCGATGATGACCGACGTGGTGGGCAGCCCCCGGTAGTCGTGCGCCTCAGACTTGCACTCCGACATCCTGCCGTCCTGGATGTGGCGGTGCAGGGAGATCTTGTCGCTCAGGTAGATGTTGATGGCGTACTTTTCTATCAGCTCTTCTTCCAGCTTCTTCTCCTCAGCATTCAGCTGCGGGTGGGCTGGCTTGCCCCACTCCCCTAGAGCGTAGGAATCCGGGGGAGGTTTCTCGTAGACCGGCCGGGCCAGTTCCTCGGGGCTTTCAGCCCTGTCTGAGAAGCGCCTCTCCCATCGCCTGCCGGTGACCCCGCTCCCGGAGGAAACCTCCTGGAAACCGGAGATGGACAGCTCCAGTAAGAAGGCAGCAGCCGTCAGGAGCCCGAGGAAAAAGCACAGCCTGCCAAACCACGGCCAGCGTCTGGCCAGCCGCACCCTCATGGCTGGCTTAGCGGAAAGTTCAGCTCGCCGTGGCTAAGCTTGTTGCTTCTTGGAAACCTTGGCAGAGAGCAGTTCCTTCCCGGGCTCTCCTCTCCTCCTTCCTAGGCTGCAGAGAGGCAGCAGCCCAAACCAAGGAAGCGCACACCCTCCTCGTCTTCCCTCCCCCTTGGCCTCCGGTCCCTTCCTCCTCCTCCCTTCCCCGGGACAAAGCCCTCCCACCGGCACTTCCTCGGCGGCAGCGGTTTGCTCAAAAAGTTGTCGCTTAAGGAAGGAGGCTGCAACTCCTGGCGAAGAGCGAGCTCACTTCCTTGCCGTCCTGCCTGGGCCAGTCCCACCCCCTACCCTCCGGCTGCTTGCACAAACAAAACCAAGTCGGGCTGGGCTTTCCCACGCCGGGAAGGGAGGAGACTGGGACTCTCCACGCTGGAAGCCTGAGTTCGGATCAGCTGTTCAGAGGGAGACCGCAAACGCTCCCAGCTGCTGCAGGAGGAACTTGCATTACAGTTAAATGGAGTGGAGCAGGGGGGGAGGAACGAAAGCATTCACTGGGGAGGGAAAGGATGCAATTCCAGGCGTGCCTTCCGAGGAGCATGCCCCTCCTGAACTCTGCAAGGCCCTCTGTAAGCAGTGTTCCCTCTAAGCTGAGTTAGTGTGAGCTGGCTCACAGTTTTTTAGCCTCCGGCTCACACATTTTTGTCTTAGCTCATGAAGGAGGGCTCCAGAGTAACCTAATTTATGCAGCAGCCAAGTCGCTCGCTCACAACTTTGATGCCCGTCGCTCACAAAGTGGAATTTTTGCTCACAAGACTCCACGGCCTAGAGGAAACATTGCTAAGTAAAAAAAAAACTAACTCAGCAGGCGAAAGCCAGCTAACTCCCCCCCCCCAACTGAACTTTCTTCGTTCGTCTTGTAACTTTTAAAGTGGAGTGCAGTTTTCAGCACAACGTTAAGCCACTTAAAATCCAAACCACCTAATTCTCTCCATAACCCTACACTCTACCCCTCAGAAAGCAAGCGGGGAAAAAAATGAATGTACAGGAAATATGCTAAAGGGAGTAAAATGCAAAACCTCAATAAAGGAAGAGGTGCGTGGGAAGCGGTCAGACATCCAAGCCTGTATTAAAACAAATAGCATGTCTCTAAGAAGTTCACCCTAGCATCATTTAATTTCATTCCTGAATCCCATCTATAAAGAAGAAGAGGAGGAGGAGGAGGAGATTGGATTTATGCCCCACCCTTCACTTAAGAGTCTCAGAGCGGCTTACAAACTCCTTTCCCTTCCCCTCCCCACAACAGACACCCTGTGAGGTAGGCTGAGAGAGCTCTTTCAAGAAGTGCTCATGAGAGAACAGCTCTGAAAGATCTTATGACTGACCCAAGGTCACACCAGCAGCTGTATGTGGAGGAATGGGGAATCAAACCTGGTTCTCCCAAGATTAGAGTCTGCGCTCCTAACTACTACACCAAACTGGCTCTGTTCAGCTAGGATCTGGGTTCAAATCCCTACTTAGCCATGAATCTCACAAATAAATTGATGCAGGCACATAATCTTTAGTCTCAGCCATTTACACCAAATTTCAAGTGTATGAAAATCTAAACAGCACCTCAAATTATATGCTAGCACAATAGTTTGTATTTACGAGCTAACATTATAGCATAATACACTAAAACCGAAGCACCTTGTGTGGGGATTAGCATTTTACTAGAGAACGATGGAACCGGGATGATGTTTACAGCGTAGCCACCTGTTGATAAGCAAAACGATAAGACACTAGAATCTATACAAGCCTAATGCAATTTAACCAGAGAGTTTAAACTCATATATATACTCCTACAGAAGCCAGTGTGGGGTACTCTGTAGAGGGGGCTCTGCTTTCTCTGTCCTTTGCTCTACTATGGACTCCTGTCTCTGAACCTAGTGTGGAAGTTGAAATAAAAAAAAAAAAATGAGTATCACTAGGCAACCTTGGGGCCAATCACTCCCTCTCAGGCAGATCTACTTTGCAGGGTTGTTAGGAGGATGAAAATGAGTAAATGAAAATCATCACTCTGAGCTCCTTGGAGAAAGGTAAAGGTAAAGGTTCCCTTGCTCGAAAGCCAGTCGAATCCAACTCTAGGGGGCGGTGCTCATCCAAACTGAAAAGCCAGCGCTGTCCGAAGACGTCTCTGTGGTCATGTGGCTGGCATGACTAAACACCGAGGCGCACAGAACGCTGTTACCTTCCCACTGAAGCAGTACCTATTTATCTACTTGCAACTTCTTGCTTTTGAACTGCTAGGTTGGCAGAAGCTGGGGCCAGAGACGGGAGTTCACTCTGTCACGTGGCACTCGGGTCTCGAACTGCCGAACTACCGACTTTCTGGTCTGCAGCTTCAGCGTCTTAACCTCTGAGCCACCGTGGCCCCTCCTGGAGAAAGGGTGCATTAAAAGGTACCCCCGTTTCTATATGTCGTTGTGAGTTGTTATGATATGGACCTATGTTTGTATTTCTGTATAGTGGTGATGCTGCTTGTGTGTGTCTCTAGCATGAATAACTATGCATTGTGTATTCAGGGATTGCTGTATGTTGTGTGTTGCTTTGTTCTGCATCTCATGCTTGCCTAGAAATAGGCTGGCCTAAGATTCACACCTTGCCAAAAGGCACCTTTGATGTAGGAGTAGGATCTGCATATTGCCACCACCCCTTAGGAGAGCGTCATCCCCTTCGTCATCCCCTCGTCACCCCCTCTTCATCCAGTAGTGATAGTTTAGAGGACGGGTTTGATAGTTTATGGCTGGATAGCACATGCCCCAAAAAGAGTTTATTTAAGGAGAAACTCTCCTTTGTCTCTCTGGTTAACCCACCTTCCCCATAGCAGTGCACTAAGGTGCTACAAGTGACTCTACTACCTAAGTTCTCCGGGAGTCGCGACCCAGAGAGCTCACACGTGGTTTGGCTGGTCCGCCCGTGTGCCTTGGAGTTAACAAGCTGCTGCTTTTGGCTGCCCCTCCTTCCAAGGAGGAGAGTTCTTCTTCAGCTTGGACCTCAGATGAGTATAGCCGTGCCCCATTGTGTCATCCCCTTATTTGATGCTTTGTTATTTGATGCTTTTGTTATTTTCTATGCTTTTGTTATTTTCTATGCTGTAATTGTTCTGATGTACTATTGTAACTAAGGAGCTTGTGTGAAACTGTATGATTCCGATTTTGTATGTTTGATGAAACCATTTAGTAAAGACAACATTTATTCTTAACTCTAGTGTGTTGTCTCACTTCCTGGGATACAGCGAGCGCTCCCCCTTCGACCATCTGACCTCTGTATAGACGGGTATAGAACTTACGCACAGCCACAACCACCCAATTTCCTTGGTAGATAACTTGGATTGGGTCTCCAGGAATTTCCTGGAGGAGTTGGCATAACAGAGTGAACACCTTTCTAGCACTTTAGAAGGTACCCCAGGGTATTTTTTTTTTAAAAAAGGAAATGCATCCTGATGTAGCATATCCCATTATGCCTTCTCATTCCTACCCTTTTTAGTATGTCTACACACAGCCTAACCAAACGAGGATCGGGACCTCACTCCCAATTCAGTGTGCAAAGAGATACTCCACCTGGCAATTCAAAATCATTCAACAACACTTTTGAGGCCTTGTATCAAAACCACCATCGTAGTAATTAAAAAGATATTTGGGGGAAGCCACATCCTTTAGCATCACCTACTGCCATCAACAAAGAGACGGCTCGAGGTATTTTTGGGTCTTGAAGCACAAAATAAAATGCTGCTCCCCACGAACGGTGAAGAAAACAATCCAGACAATCCTGCTGCTGCTTTTATGTGTACAAAAAACCCTACTTGGGCCCAGCTCCCTCTCGCCCAACACCAAATTTGTCACTACAAGCAGGAGCTTCTCATCTCTAACACCAATTAGAAATCTGGGTAACTACTGATCACAGATTAATGTGGAATCTAAGAACGCAGTCACACTGGACAATGGACAAAAGGAATTCTAACTGGGCCTTTACACCATTGTTGTCTTGCCTCCCGTGACTGATTCTGCCGAAAAACAAACACAAGACCCAGCATTTTGTAAGACCACGGGGAGGGGGGGGAGGCACAGATCCAAAACACGGATCCTCATGTTTTTTATATGGAATCTTCTACGGTTTATGGGGAAGTCACAGACTACACATGCATGCACATAATGTACCACAAAAATGCATTAAAAGAACTTGTTCGTTATTCATTTGCAGGGTGGCAGGACTGAAGATATATTTACGTACACAATGCAGAGAAAGGGTTAAACACCTCATCAGGTTTTGTTGATTTATTAAAAATGACAATTAGAGGCTTATTACAACACACCTTATTTGTACAAAAAAACATTACATACCACAAACTCTAACCTTCTACTCTGTCTCCACCACCAAACCTAACTGACAATTCAAACTACAATCTGTACTTTTATGAAATCTCTTCATGAATTTAACTGTCTAGGTGGGACCCTAATCTAAGCGTGCCTAGACAGCTAACCCGGCATTAACATTAGAATTAGAGATAATTGTTTATACATGTTTCGTTTGGGGCAAGATTAGCCAGCATTTCAGGAGGTTCCGACATTCCACTTATAATGAGCTGGAAAATATTGAAATAGAGCGCCCTCATCAGTTTTGGGTATCAAAAGGTCTCGCTGAAACATGTAGGACAATGATCTTGACCGTAATTTATAAAAATAATCCATCAAAAAGATTTGAAAATGGCTGCGGAAAACTAAGAACATGGCATCCGGCCCCATCACCCCTTGGCAAATCGAAGGGGAAGTCGTGGAACCAGTGACAGACTTCACATTCCTGGGATCCAAGATCACTGCAGACGGTGACTGCAGCCAAGAAATTAAAAGGTGCCTTCTCCTTGGGAGGAAAGCCATGGCAAACCTAGACAGCATATTATGGGAATACCATTGCTTTGACCATTCGGACTTTTGTTGGCAGGGTGTATGCAGAGTACATCATGTAAAATG